AAGGGGGCACCGCCCAGCCCGGCCTAGAGCCAGCCTGAAACAGCCCCATCCCCCTACTGTCTGTGTCCCCAGATGTCCCCCCTCCCGCACTGTTGCACCAACCATGCTCTGCCACCCCAGTCCCCCTGCAGGCTCCCAGGCTCCCCAGACACCTTCCCGGCCCCACTGCAGGGTGCAGCTTGCTCAGTCCCCTGTGGCAGAGGAGGGGACTTTGCAGCAGTAGCTTTGTCCTTGGCTGGGGGCTGCCGCCCCCCCCCCCACACCCACACCCACTCACACACAGAGTGGATGAGAGGCCCCACCCTATAAGAGACAATCAATGTAGCCCCAGCTATTAGGCAGGCAGGCACTGGGCTGGGGATTACGTCCTGGTCCCATCTCCAGCTCTGGGGACAGTGGGGCTAGTGGTTAGAGCAGGAGGGACTCAGGACTCTTGGGTTCTTTCCCAGCTCTGCCATGACCTACTGTATGACCTTGGTGATGTCTCTTCCTTCGTCTGTCTAGCCAGAGAGGGGCCTAGGGCAAGAAGTGTCGAGCAGTGCCCTGCTGGGGGCTGCAGGCACGACTGTGCTACAGCCTGGAAACGCAGACCCCCCGCATCCACCCCTTTTGACCCTGATCCCCATCTCCCAATGGGTGGGAGATGGAGCACAGCAGTCCCATGTGCCCCAAGCCACATCCGGCAGCCCCCAGTCTTGTCATGATCCTCTCCCATTCCTGGCTCCCCTCCCCCCGTCTGCTCCTATGTGGGGGGGTTGAGAAGTCAGTTTCCCAGCCCTGGGGCAAAGCCTGCACTCATCCTCAGGGGTTCTCCTGCATCTCTGACCTGAGAGATAAGGCGGGGTGGGGAGGGAATATCTTGTCTTGGGCCAGTCTCTGCTGCGGAGGGAGACGAGGCTTGGAGCCACAGAGTGGGCTGAGCAGACAGGCGATGCTGATCTAATGGCCTTTAAATGGCCCCTTACTGATGAGCATTTCCCTGCCAAGCCGTTTTCCTGAGGCTGTTTCCCCTCACCGCTGGCTGAAGGTTTGCTGGGGGGTGGCGCGGCAGCTTACGGGAACCTACATCGGTTTGCATGTGCGCCCAGGGACCTTGCGGCCTCATGAAAGGCGAACGAGGGAGACGTCAAATGAGCAGCATTGAAATGCCGACGGCATTGGATTTCCAGCCTTAGTAGATCTGGCAGTTGGTGGGGGCTGTCTCCTTGGCAAGGCAGCAGCTGACATGAACCCCGTTTCCAAAGGACAAGTCTCTGCTTTGGAGGTAGCCAAAGATCTCCGCTCAAAGGGAGGGATTCCTGGGAAAACCAAACAGGGCAGAGGGGGCTTGGCTCTGCTGTGATAAATCCGGTGCCATCTTTGGTCTCACCCCAGCTTTATGCCAGGACCAAAGCAGCATCTAGTCCCATTTGTCTCTCTCGCTCTTTACCTGGGTTATTAATGTCACCTGAGCTGATTAGAGCCCAAGGAGAATGTTTTCCCAGCCTAGGGGAGTTAGGACCCACTGACAGATTTTGGTAAGTGATCAAGGGCCTCACTTTTCTACGGAGCGGTGCAGTATCTGGGACAGAGCTTGAGTGCAGTAGGGAGCTTGGAGTA